ATTGTTATTCAGTGGGCTATATTTTCCCTCATTTTTATGTTTTACTTCTGATTCCAGCAGTATAAATCTGCCGAAATATGGAAAAAATTGTTTAACGTTAGCTGCTGACCAAATAGTTTTATCGTACATTTTAATTTTTTTGCATAAGTTGCCGTAATTGAATTTTTATGATTGACCCATTCTTCTCTGTAGTGTTGGTGAAGGATTTTTGTTTGTTGTTATTAAGCAAAAAGCTGTACATTGGGAATATTTGTGCTGTACCCACCAAGGGTATCGAAACACAGTTTTTAGGGTTGTAAGCCTTCAAACTTTCTGTTGAGCTACTGGGGGCTGTTGGTGAAGGAATGTTTTGTAGTTGAGACAACTGGGACATTTGGCTCAATCTTTAAAACTTTTGTGAAATCATAGTTGCATACAAAATCAAAATGAAAGAAAACACAGTCGTGCTGTTTTTTTCCAATAGTTTTGATTTGGAAATGTTTTCAAAATAGTTCCAAACTTTATGGTTATTAGTGGATGCGTGATATCCATATTATTTCTAAACACTATAGCTGTTTTATAACTTTTATGTTGATACATGAATATAATTCTGGATTTATTTGTGAAATCGAGCATGAATTTACATATTTATACGGATTATATTTAGCTTAGGTTAGAACGCGATTTCGAGTTAGTTTAAGGTTTAGTTTTATGGCCCCCAGGGTTAGGGGCAGTTTCAACCACAGTTTGCAGAGTTCACTTTCCTAGTGGACCCGGGTTTTGATAATAGCAAGCTTTGGAATTGCTGCAATAACAGAATATGTCCCACTCGAAGCACGGTAGTCTGAGGCATTGAGTTCATGAAGCCTCTAGAAGAAGTGTAAATATGCATCCGTATATACGCCTTCTTCCTTTACGCAACTTACTACCCAGTTGTGCCTTCAACCCTATGTTACTGACTGCATTACTGTACTAGAACATTTTCCAAGCTGACTTTTCAGAGAATCTAATAGAATTTTGAGCTGCCTAACACTATTTCACTCTTAGGATTCTAGTGAACTACTTAACTGACCTAAAGTGCAGCCTAACATGTCACTGATGTGACCAGTGATACATTGTTCGAGTGTCTGCCTTATCAACGAATTTTACTTGGGCACCTACCAAAACTGAAATGGGTAAAAGCGATATCATCCCACTGAAGGATACTTAAACATAACCACACATCTAGAGGGGAACCCTTTCGCTCAAAAAGCCGGCACTAGGTAAAATGTGAAACTCTTATTTACGCTGACTGGCGAACAGCGTTCAGAACCTGCCAAATACATTCAAAAGTTTTCCGTAAAATAGATAAAAAGCGAAATGTTAAACTCCTAAAAATTAGCATTTAGATAGAAGCTACAAATACCATATAATACTTTACTTGGCTGAACTTCTAAGATATCATTATTAATTGAAAGTATACTGTTATGTTTTAAAACTTTTTTATGCTACATCAATGACAGAGTAACTGTAACCTCAAGAATGGACAAGGTAAAACACGGAACAATCACTTCTCCAATAGAAAAATATCCAATTTTTTTTAAAAAAAGTTAAAAATAATCCTTAGAAAAATAATGATATTAGAGTTCAGAAATATTAGTAATGAGGGGTGCAGTTTCTTTTATTGCACCAGAAAACGCGACGCCTTCCAAAGCTCCTACAAATACATTTTAATTTATTACTGAATGTAAAAATGTCCTAAACATGCACTAATCCTCTTGCTTTGTCAAGTTACAAAGAACAATGATTATACACAGAAACTTACAGTACTGTGCAAAAGTGTTAGGACGAATTCAAAAATTCGATCTCAGGCTACCTTCAAAGAACATTGGAAGGTAAATCGCAGGTGAAACATCAAAATTTTATCAATCTTCATATTTAGTACAACAAACTCGGTGGAAGTGCTTGAGTTCAGTAAACAATTAATAATTTGTGTGTCCTCTTTTGCTTTAACAACTGCAGTTTTTCAGGCATTATTGCAACATATTTAATCAAAGTGTCCTTTGGGATTTTGCTTCAAATGTCTCTAATACACTTCCATAAAATTTCTTTGGAAGTATGTTCTGATTTGTCTATTTTTTTATCTATCAAATCCCGGATCTGCTCAATTGGGTTCAGATCAGAGCCTGTGGGGGCCATTGTATCATTCGAATGACTCCAACAGCTTCTTTCTTAGTTAAGTATTCTGTGCATAGGTTGGATGACAGTTTGGGGTCATTATCTTCTTGGTAGTATAATCCTTTACCAATAACATGCAAACCACTAGGTATATCATGACAAATCAGTATCTGATTGTACTTGTGCTGGATCATTATTCCAACTATTTTGTAAATATTCTCCTGTCACCTCAGTAGAAAAACACCCCCAAACCATCACACTGCTTCCCCCATGCTTCATGGTAGGTGCAATGCATTGAGGTATCTTTCACCTTTGTTCCGCCGGACGTACAACCTACGCTTTGAACCAGATATTTCAAACTTGGACTCATCCGTCTATAACATCCTTTTCCGATCATCAACAGTCGGGTTTTTGTTCTTTTTTTTTTAAGCAAATACCAGTCTCTTGACAATATTTGGAGATCAAAATAAAGGTTTTTTAAACTGCTACACAACCAAATATTCCATTCTTGTTGAGTCTTCTTGATACCGTAGATCTGTCATTCGGTACATGGTCGTTTATCTCATGCTTGAGATCAGTGGCAGTCTTTCTTCTGTCCCGAAGGCTGCATAAACGAAGACTCTTAAACATCAGTATCATTGAGTTTAGGTGTTCTGCCTCGTACTTTCATATTTTCAAATTTAACTGTATCGGGCTCACAATCTAGGGTGTACTTGACAGTGTTTGGGGAGCATTTCAAGTCTGCAGCAATTTGTCGGAGAGTCCAACCAGCATCACATAAAGCTTTTATGCAAACTCTGTGCTCTACCGACATTTCTCTACACTTTTTGGGCTATGACATGACAACAAAACTTAATATATAGTGTTAAACACTGTTTTATCAAAGTTTATTTGTGGAGTGCTATAAAATTTATTTCTCCTAG